TATGACCATTCATAAGGGTCAGAGTCAGACAAAATCCTTGGCACCCTTATTGGAAGGGAATTATAAGTGGGTTTTCTTGTCTGACTGCTCACTGTTTAGCTAGCTGTGATACACCATGCTAACAAGTTATCTTTCTTTCCTGTGGTGAATCAAGTTACCCCGTTGTTATTCTAGTGATGTAATCAATTCAACCTTGACCTCATGTCAAACCTACTCCAATCAATCCAGTCAATATTCACATCAGCAACTCATCCCAATACATGGTTGTTTACTTCTTTGCCTTCCTTATACTGTTTTTCATTCTACTTGTTTTTCTTCTCAGTTCCTCTTGCCACAAAAGATGTAGCACTTGTGCATGAGAAAAAGTTCTCTCTGCCTAATCACAACCAAGACAAAGGGGGTCTTTCGAGTTTCAACAGATTCTCGTCCTGGTGTCCATTACTAAGGGTGTCCCTCTCATACTCAGTGTATGGTGTAAATGCAGATTCTTTTGATCCTTCTGAAGCACCAAATACATGTTAGCATCACCCAAAATCAGTGTCTGTGTTTTTTCCTCTTTGTTTTCACTTGCTTTGGTTTTCACTCTTTTTCATTTCACACCAAGCAAGGGCATAAATTGTCTTCCACAATGTTACTCAATACCAAGTGGGAGAAAGATATGGCTTTTCACCTTTTTGTGTTGTGTTTTCTTTTTGTTCTTCACTGCATCAGGCAATTTATCATTGAGTTCTATTCCCAAATTGCCACTATTTTGCAGGTTGACTGAAGCTTACTGTCAGTTTTCACCTCGATTCCATATAATGACAACTGCCTCAGTGGATGGTGTTTGGGTTTTCAAATGCAGGTTTGTACCGCCAGAGGAAGACTTGGCATTGGATGAATACCTTTTGTGTGCAATTAAGCATAACACAGTTTCCATTGAGTTTTCAAGAATTAGGCAGAATTCTTGGCTGATTCATCCAAAGCTAGATGATAAAGGTTCCAATCAATCAACTTCAAGCTCCAGCTGGATGATCACAGGTGTTACAGTTGGAATATGTAGATAAAATGGAAGGCCCACTTCACTTATTTTATTTTGTAGAATCCTTTGACTGAAAAGTGTTGATCCAAAACTTATTCCCAAGAATTGAGAGTGATTTCCCTTTCTTGACCAATAAACTATGTCCTTTTTGCTTGCAAGCCTAGCTGCTAAGTGATCACTTTGTGTACTACAGGTCCCTACGTCTTACATCTGTCTACATAGCTTATGATCAGCAAAGAGTGTTTATATTTCCTGAGAAATACTCTGGGTCTTTCACCGCTGGAATCAATAGAACATGCAATTAACACCACGGGAATTATTGAGTGTGAACCCCGATTGAGCAGAGTTGCAGTGACCGGGTCCGCAACTTTCTTCAATCACGGATCTCGTTTGCCATAGGTTTGCTATAGGTTTGCTAGCTTGCCTTGAGCTGCCCTATAGCAACAAACTCAAAGCAATGCTGATTGGATATAGTCTTCCCTTTGACACAAGAATTTTTGGAATGTGATTCACAATTCCCTTTGTGGTGTGAAGTTGATTTTGACTTGGATTCTTTTTTTCAGAGCTTATCAATTTCAACACCTGATTTGTTGTTTGATGAGGAACTTGGTGATCAACCCCTTCAAAGGGGTCCGTGCTTTCTTGAGCATACTGATACAAGCTTAACTAAGCCCCTTGAGTGCTGTTGTACATACATGAATATAAAGGTGCTGTAGTTGACATATGTACTCAGCTTGAGTGAACAACACAAGGGAACCTCAAGGCAAACTACATAGCAAACCCATAGCAAACCTATGGAAAATAAGATCTGTGATTGAAGAAAGTCGCAGACCCGGTCACCGCGACTTTACTCAATCGGATTTCTACACCACTGGGCAGCCTTTGAGCAAAAAACTGCTGCCAGGGTGCGGTCAAAGGTTGTGTGAGTTTCACAGAGATTCAAAGCCTCTCAATGAAATCCAAAACCTCTTGTTCATAATATCAAACATCCTTCACACTTCTTTCTATATATCAAGTCATCCTTTACTATTTGTAGATCTTGACTTATTCTCGTAATTCCTATCTGCTGGACTTTCATCTCAAGTATTAACCAGTGTAGTAGATATCAATTGAATCTTGTACAAACTTTTGTCTATCTCATATCCAGTTGATTATCAATTTGTTTGTATCTTCTTCACTCACGTCTTTTCACATATCAGCAAGAGATTTATGAACAAGATATCAAAGGGAAGCTGATTGAACTGATTGTAGGACAGTAGCAGGAAATGTATCAAGATTAAAAAGATGTTCTATCATTTTGAGTGTGTTTGCTTACTTCATGATCTCCTGAGGGAGTAATTTGTTTGAGTCTTTCAAGTTTTTACCCTGGTTAGCCAATGCTCCTGACCGATCCGATCCGGATCAATCGGGAGTTTTTTTTTGATCATATTGTATGCCGAGCGATGTCGCAATTGCGTGACGCTCACCTTGATGCTATGTGGTGGCTTATTGTGGTACGCCCACCTGGTGGAATGCAACCGCACCACCACCAGAGTGGATTGTGAATTACCAGTGAAGCGCTGTGGTGTTCACAGTGCTACCACATGGTTGGTACTGTGAACCCCATGTGGTTCATGGATTGCGGTCGCGACGTGACTCGCCTCTTGTGAATGCCACGTGAACCACTACATTCATTCCAGAATAGCTTGGCCAGTCAAACTTTTTGAAAATTATTTTTTGGTGATACAGGCAGCTTTATAAGCATAAAATATGCCTATATGAAATTGTGAGTTTGACCCACCCTGACCAACCAATGTTCCACTGTTTACCACCGCCATTCCCACATCCTCGCACCCATCAATCCAGCTCAATCGCACTCGATCATCCATTCTTTTGGAACTGGACACATACCGTGAGTTTTGAAAAGGTCCTCTTGGTTTTGAAATCTATCTCACAGTCTTTCTTTTGGTCTTGTTTTGATCGTCTCAGCTTTGATCCAAATCTCAATTCAACCCTCTCTTTTCCAATTGATTTCTTTGCTTTGACATATAGGCTTCAAGTCTGCAATCATTTCCTTGAATTTTGTCCTCTACATGTTGAATCCATCCTTAAGGCTTCAGATCCGACTTGTCAGCTTTGGATTCAACCCTTGAGCTCTGGGTGTTTCTTGATCAGGGGTTTCCTTGTACTTGTACTTATTTACTCTATCTTTGAATCACTACATCGTGATCAAATCCACTTGTCAGAGTTTGTTTGCTTCAAATTTGTCAGCTACCCTTTCCATTACAACAGGATCTTTGAACCAGTGGTGTTTTAATCACTTTCCAAATGCACAAATACCATGGGACAAGAGAATTTTGTGTGCAGTAGTGGTCTTCACAGATGAGCAGAGCTCCAACAGCCCTGAAGCCAAGTCTTGTATGGATAGTTTAAACAGTTCCCATACCAAGTCTCAAACAATACATACTCCATACTGAAGTTTGAGAGCAAGCAAGGATGCAATTATGATAAGGAGTGTTCGTTTCAAATTCTGCTGTTCAAGACTACTTACATGCAGATATCTTCAACAACTATATACAAGATATGAGCTCAGAGCAGGCTGTAAAGGGAACATCATCATGATCAGAAGGAGAGAAAAAACAGTGCATGTCGAAATGTATCTGTAGGTGTCCGTGACAGTGTTGTTTACACTTGAATCAACTTGAATATCAACACACAAAGACCTAAACTTGTCAATCCAAGCAAAGAAATCGATTGGAAGAGAGAGGGTTGAATCGAGATTCGGATCAAAGCTGAGACAATCAAAACAAGACCAAAATAAAGACTGTGAGATAGATTTCAAAACCAAGAGGACCTTTTCAAAACTCACGGTATGTGTCCAGTTCCAAAAGAATGGATGATCGAGTGCGATTGAGCTGGATTGATGGGTGCAAGGATGTGTGAACAGCGGTGGTAAACAGTGGAACATTGGTTGGTCAGGGTGGGTCAAGCTCACAATTTCATATAGGCATATTTTATGCTTATAAAACTGCCTGTATCACCAAAAGATGATTTTCAAAGAGTTTGACTGGCCAAGCTATTCTGGAATGACTGTATAGAGCCAAATGGCAATGTGGAATTCACACCGCAACTGCCCCGTGGTGTACAGTGGCCAAGGAGCGCCAAATGTGCCAAAACCTCAAAATGCAAAAATCACACTTGAAGCTCACCCTGAAAGCCCCGTCAAGCGTATCCCGACCCCAGTCCGTGGCGCCGGGGTCATCACTCCAGGAGTCCAGATGACAGCCAGCCTCAGCCAGCTTGATGTAGATTGACTTCATCATTTCTTCAGATCAATCATGTCTGCCACCAATGTTACTTTGAAAGCACTGGGTCGGTACTTAAAGAAACGTCATTATCTTGAATAAGACTGTTTCAATGAATACAACAAGAAATATCATGATGCTTGTAAAGATTTGATTGTTCCTTTGGATTAATCCAAGCTGCCACAAATGTTGCTCTTGAATCATTGTACTTAGTATCCTAGTGTAGCTCCAAAAGATATTTGTTTTGATTAACCAATCACTCAATGACTCAAATGGTCAAGAGGCTTGTGAAAATCATACTCTGATAAACAACAACTGGAGTAGATCATGAGGGGACTAATTACAAGTCTTTTACAAGGGTCACTATAACAATTCCTTCACTGTGATCTGGACAGTAAAAATTGGCAAGGACTGATATTTACAACATGATTGATCTTCAAACAGATGTGAAAGGAAAGATTTTTGAAAAACATCAACAGGATTTAAGAGGAGGTTCTGGTCCGGCGCCACGGACTTGGGTCGGGATACGTTCGGCGGGGTTTTCAGGGTGAGTTTCAAATGCGATTTTTACGGTTCGCGTCGGAACCTGCGTCACTTGCTTTACCCCGTGGTACCGACCCAGCATGCTATAAAGCTATCGATCAGTTGGCCATCACTGTCCACCGCCGTCGAAATCGTTGTGTTCAATATTCTCAATGGACGAATCCGAGGAAGTCAGCTTGAATGCAATCTTCAAGAAAAAGAAATCACTACGAACAAAGGAGAAGTCTAATCTGCGCAAGTCAACTTCAAATACCGTCGATTCAACTTTACCAGCTTCTCCAACACTTCTGAATGACATCGTGGATGATGAACGACTACTTGAGACAGAGGGAAATATCGTCATTTCACGCGCTTCCAAGAAAAAATCACTGAAGGAGACGAATTCATCGTCGTCATTAAAATTCAGGATTAGTCTCGGCACTTCACAGGTGCGCAACATTGTTTTACATGAATCTTGGAGAAACATCCAAAAATATCCCCTCTCGCCTTTTGAAGATGACAGGGTATATGAAAACTTTAACAAGTATATAGGTTGAGATCCGCATCGTCAATTTCACAGGCTGAAAGCGATCAAATCGATACAGCTGAATCTCGAACGGAATCTCCACGACGGAAATTGCTCAGACCGACTTCACATGCAATCCTTGCAAGTCTCGAAGAGTGAGTCATATCTTCACTCAGCGGTTAAGTGAGTGTATATATTGGATACTTACTTCTGACCATTGTATTGACCTTTAGTGATCAAATGAAAGATTTATCATCATTGAATACTCTGGGTCAAGCTTCACGCCCTACCTATTCCACTTCCCACCTCAATGAGCTCAAATCTCTTACACTATCGTCATCACCCCAACAACTACAGCACAAGCAGGATTATGACGAACTCACCGAGTCTAAATTCTCTACATTTATCAATTATGGAATGGAGGTTGAGAGTAATTCTGAATCTTCCCCATCATCATCTTTCGTCATTCCAACCTCTACAATGATCAATTCTGCAAAGGAGCGACGCTTGAATGCTAGAAAGGCTGGATTCACTTTTCCCTCGACTAGTAGAGCATCAGACAAACTCGGTGATGCTGAAGAATTCATCTCATTATCAGGAAATTCTGATTCAATCTCTTCAGGCACGCGCAAAAAAGGCGATTCTCGCCTAGTCAGGGAGGAAGACGAGCTAGGTGAAGGGGAGGAAGAACATGCAGAATACACTGGAGCGACGGAGAGGGTTCCTTTGGGTGAAAAGGCCGGCTTATTGGCCGAAGCAAAGAGGAAGGCAGGCATGGAGGCAATGGTATCGGATACATTAGGTGATATGGATCAGGATGATGAAGAAATGGAATGGGAAGCTGCGCAGATACGGAGGGGTGGTATAGGTGCTTCTGCGATGAAACACACCACTGAAGCTCCAAACCAGGTCTATCGGCCTGCTAGTATACCCGAGCACGCAGTAGTCGCCACCTTCAACTCGGTCGAGAGTCAGTTGCTTGAATCACTGGATCGTATTCAAATCTCACTCGATCAACAATCAGAAGCTGCGGTATATTTTGCTACCGAGGATCAAAATCTTCAACGGCAAGAGTCAGACCTCCGTCAAGAGGTCGAAAAAGAAGCCGCTCGCCAACAATTCTTTCAAGAGTTGAACACTTTTGTGGAAGATCTAAATTCTTTCTTTACGAGTAAATGGGCTGCGTTGGAGACAGCTGAAAAAAATCTACTCAGCGTCTTGACAGAAAGGACCGAAATGGTCTACAAAAGACGATACGAAGATTTGTCCGATGATCTCGTCCTCTTCAAGTCGGGCGAGGTGAGCACTTGTCGGCCAGTTGCTGGTCGCACGGCTGCAGACGAGTCAGTAGAGAATGCGGATGACGCCGATTCGCCCGAGGAAGCTGTTGATGAGCTCGGAAGGCATCGTCGTGAACTTGATACATCCTCACAGGCTCCGTCAAGACGAGCCAGAAGAGAAGACCGTACTCGGAGACGCAAGCGACGTATAGAACGGGTCATTGACAACTTGAAAGAATTCGAGGAGGAAGGATACTCCACAGACGATTCTTTGTCACCCGCGGACTCTTCTGATCTTCTAGCTGCATCAAAATCTTTGCTCGCGTCATCCAAGGCGATTTTGGCAGATACGATTAACCCGGAATTTCTATCACCAACCAATAAAGACTCTATCTCTGATCGGTTCTTGAATTGGAAGGCTAAATATCCTGAAGAGTACGGCAATGCCTTTGGGAATTTAGCGCTCGTTCAGGTCTGGGAATTCTGGGCTCGAATGGAGTTGGTTTCAGGTTTGAACGTATGGGGGTTTCAAGATTGGGTTGCACAGGAAGACAAACGTGGGATTGAAAACTGGGATTGGATGCGTGGTTTGGAATGTTACGATCATAAGGTATCTGAAGCCACCGAAGGTGACGGAGCAGAAGGGCAAGATTCGGTGATTGCGGCGATGATCACGACGGTGATTATTCCGATCTTAATTCCAATCATCAGTCAAACTTACGATCCTTTTAGCTACAAAGCGACGACCAAGAGTCTCGAACTTGTTGAACAAGTTGGTTACGTCCTTGATGTTGACAACAATCCTATATACGATCAATTCGTGATGAGCTTTCTTAAACGTTTCTATGCCAGTCTTTATGAACTTCAATATTTAGCTGGATCGATGGATGATCTGACAAATTCACTCCAAAGTCAGATTGGAATGGAAGGTATCGATGCACGAAACCGGTTCTTGAACAAGTGTTACAAACTACTGAAACAAGGTCTAAGATGGAAGAAGCATAGCAACGGACTCGTTTTCGATCAATCTGAGATTCAACAGCTGCCCGGTGTGTATGATAAGCATTTGGAGTACATTTTATCCCACGTCTTAGTCGGACAGATCATGTTGCCAATCTTAAACACTGGTTGGGAAACGGGTGGGAAAAGCATAGCAGAGAAGGTAAGCACTTGAAGGTCTTGATATCCAGTCTATCCTGAACAACACTGACGTACCTTCATCCGCTCTTCGGAATCTTTTGCTCGCTTGATGACTCCAGATCGACAAGTCTTGTCCATTTGGCCTACTTCCCGCACGAATCTCTGAGGCGTTGCATATGGGACCACACACGTGAGCTCACAAAGTTTGTGGTCATGATGAAGTACGCTTGAAAAGCTAGATGACTACGTCAGGATCTTATTTACATGTAAATGGTTGATACACATCATAGTGTTTGGTACAATGTCATTCATGTTTTGTTGATAGTAAGGTAATTATGAGCGTGACTTTCGAGCAACAATTTGTGTTTGAGTTTTTGTAGCTCATAATCTTTACGTGGTATTCAAACTCTTGCAAGCCATGATCCGAGCCAGCGATAGCGACCTTGAAGGGGTCGATTTGGCGAGTATTCAATGAGTCGCGTGATTTGCTTGCTGAGCAACTGGCAACTTGGAATACAACATTCAGCTTCCTATTAATAAGAGGTTGGTACGTTGCAGATTCAAGTTCATGGAATCTGAGTCAATGTTATGACCAGGTTGCTTGCCTCTTGAATCACGGTTCATCTTGCAATTCTCACACTTGTGTGTCGCTTTTGCACCATTTCTCAAATGCCCTGTTTGCGCCTTGTCTATTGTGCGGATGGCCATCGACCTACAGTTACTCTTTGGATCCAAAATGGAATTTCCACAAAACAATGACAACAGAACAACATGGGTCATGAACCCGAAATTTATACACAAGAAAAAACAAAGACAGCAAATTGCTGCATTGCATCAGCAGCCAACAGAAAAGGCATGAGAAAGTACAAAGCGTTGCACAGGAAACAATCAGATGTAAGAATCAATTCCACCTGAGAATCATTTCTAAACAAATGAATGGAGAAAATTGTGATCGTCTTTCAAAAAAAGCTTGATCAGAGAAGTCGTAAGCTATATTCCGAAGTCAGCGTAACAGATCCCTAAATCGAGAAAATCTTTCAGCATGTCATTTTTCTGAAAGGTCTGGTGGTGAGACTAGCGCTCACTGTGAATGGCTCAATTCCACTACCTACGGTGGCGATAAACTCATTCGGATCGAGTCCGAATTGGGTCAACTCTTTCTCTGTAGATCATAAGTTCACCACGTTTGATGTGACGTTTCTCGTAAGACATTGAAAGGTGTATAGGCGAAGAAGCAGGACTACTCACGCAGAAGAGGCTTGAAATCACCGGCGAAGTTGTGGTACGCTTTTCCACCGACTGGAACTAAAGAAATGACCGGAATGCCACCAACGACACCTTTCCAGACATCGAAAGTAAATCTCGATCCGATTGATACGGTCTTGCCTGTCTTGGCGCCTGCCGGTGCTGCACCTCCTTTAGCGACCAGCCAAATCTGAAAAGAAGAAAGCAGCCCCTCAGTATCAATGATTGCAGCAAGAGTCTGAGTCTAATTTAGAGAAAAAGGTGGTAAAGCGTACCATAATCTCATGTGAAGCACATCCTCCTCCTTGGCCCGAGCAAGTAGGTGACAGGGACGTGAAGATGTCGTAGGACTAAAACATTCCAGGTGTCAGCGTCAACATATTTTGAGAGGGTGTGTTCTCAAAGCGCACCACATCGGCAACCAAATCAGATGATGCTGCCTTAAAAGACCAATTCCAACTGGACGAGAAGGTATTTAGGAGAGATATCTTGAGCGGCTTACCCGCCCAACCAACGTTGGAGTCTGTATATATTGTAAATGAGTTTGAACCATCAGTCTGGAAAAAGTTATGACGGGTGCACTGAAAACACTAACAAGATTTGACTTGATTGTTCAAGCTGGGGTTAGTGGAAGTGAAGGCGAGCGACGTGCTCCAATTTATTTTCCCGTCTTTATACGAGTTACATTTCACACTTTGCCTGCTATCCCCAGACGCGGATTGAGCTGAGACGATGTTTTAGATCACAAGCATTAGCGGGCGCGGCGTGGGCATGAAAGAGGGTCTAGCATTACTGACCCGACCAGACATTGTTGTAGACAGTCAACCTCTCTGCAACCTGATCCTTGTCAAACGATGGCTTTCCAGCTTTCCATTCCATATCTTTTGAACATCCGTTTTCCGTCACCGGACCCATGGTCTGTCTCATCTGGGCATCCTGGTTGATTTGGTGGGCATTTTCCGGTGGTGGCAAGGGGAATGCGGACACCTTGACAGTTCCATCGAAGGTGAGAAAAGCGGCGAGGAGCAGTAAACTAGTGCGGTGAATCATTGAGCTAGCTGAGATTTGATCTTTAATATTCAGAAACTTGTTCTTAAAGCAAAATTGTGAAAGTATGATACCGTAAGATTGGGTACAAAAGAAGGATAAGACACAAGAGCGACTGAGCGTTGTAAAGAAAATTCACTTATGTGGAGGATTTTGAATGCAATAAGAAGCGAAGGAAACAAAGAAACAAAGGAATGAAGTGTTGTTCTGCAGGTGATGGCTGCAAGGATAACGACTTTGCCGTTGGATATATAGTGTGGAATGGTAGTCTTCGCCAACCCAGCAAGTTATTTCAGGGTCCGCACCTATCATCACCTGTTGTTGTCGTGAGAAAGGTAGGGTCACAGATATGCGTGTGATACTACTTGGAGACGGCTGTAAGCGATCCAAGGCAAGGAAGGGTAGTATTGAAGTTGTAGGGTCTGAACCGATGTATCGTGCAAATGCCACACCAAAGGGCTACATATCTCTCGAGTCTTATCCTTTCGGCAATGCATGCAATGAAGTCATGACGATTTTACTCGGCAAACTTAGGACACAGTAATGGATGTAGATGAGTTCACTCGGCCCATCTAGAACACAGCGTCAGATTTAGATGGGTTTACTCGGCGAATATATGTCACAATAATAAATTTAGTGAGGAGGACCCCACCTCCTCAGCCTATGCCCTGGACTCTCTACCAATCCCTGATTTCTTTCGTGGTATGACTGACACAAATTCTCGACGACCCACTCACTTGTGGCTCATCATATCACAGGAATTTGCTGGCAAATGGCTTGGGGTCCCGTCATCGAGCCAAGGCTGTACACGGATGTGAATGCCGAGCTCATAGGTTTGATGATCGCAAATGCATTCTTTTCTTCATAAGCTGTTGCGGGTTTCCCAGCTTAAATTGCCCTGGCACCGTGCAAGCCATCCGGGAAATATCACCATAAGAGGTAGAGGACAAGATCCTGCCTTTGACATGTGGAAGAGGAGTTGGTATGCATGTACAAGAATTGTTTTTGTCTCTCTTTTACATTTTTCTCACTGTGTGGTGCGATTCAATTTCTATATTGTCATGTCCGCAGACCACCCGTAGGGTATTGGTTGTTGTTATCATGGTTAAGAAATGATCAACCCTGGGTACTCAGCCTAAGATTTTCACCCACACACCGCATCTCACTGCTTCAGTTTATATACTGATTTTTAAAACCAAGTTTTTTGTTACTCTCATCTCCCATTGTTCAACATACTACCCTTTCTTGGACATTTCCAAACAATGCCATTTAAAACTCAAAGATCTTCAACTTACGCATATCATTCACCCCACCGCGGTTTGCCCTCATATTTTCTTTCACTCAGTGTACTTACCTACCAGATTTTTTTGGTCTCAATAATTCCTTTTTTGCAATTCATTCCAGGCCTCACAGATGCAGTTCTCAAGACCACCCTCCAACAGGGCCTCACATCAAGGTCCAATCATCTGATTCTCACCCACCATTCAATCTGATCAGAAAAGAGGGTCCTTCAAAATGTATTTGTAGATATATAGAGCAACATGGCTTGCGATTTCATTATCAACTAATCTTTGATGGTACATACGAGTTTGTTTGAGGTGTTTTGACAAGCGTGTTACAAATATACGCAACGCGTTTATCACGCAAATTAAAGTGATTTAGGATACGAGTCTGACAATGTCTGAACAGGTGAAATGAAGATACGAAAGTACATCTACTTGCCCATATAACTATAAACCCAAGCCTTAGATAAAAAGGAAGCTTAATCTAGGGAGATACATACAAACCTGATCCGATGAATCGCGCTACCATCTCCATATCCCCCAGAAGAAGTATCAATATACTGCCTGGTTGTCTAAATGTCTGGAAGGAGAGCGCCACATGACCCAGTGAATATGAATGTCCATTTATTTTGCAAGATTAATCCTGTAGCTCTCCACGACTTCAGCAATTCCGTAGCTATTAGCCGTAATTACTATACACACCACGCCGATAGTCACAAGCTTGGTGAAGAGTGAATTAACAAAAGAATGGCTATTTGAGCTGGAATTAAATCCATCAGATTGAACTTCGACATCCTTTCTATGCGTGGATGTTTTCTGGTGGTGATTTTGAAACCAGCTTAACCCAAGAAGTTTCTTTGGATGATCGATATTCGAGAATCCAGTATCGAAATCAGGAGAGACTGCAACTGTGATATGGGGTTTAATAAAAGGGGGTTCGGTAGGAAACTTGATGGTCATTATGGAAGTTTTGGAAGTGAAATAAGCTAAAGGAATGATTGCAAATCTGAAAATATAAACCACAGCCTATTCTTGTCAACTTCCAAGTCAACTTACCACAATTATCAAAATCAAACTCACGGAAGGACAAGGCTGATAGCTACTTGACTAGCAATTAACATCACATTAATTCCTTTCTTTCCTAAAAGTACTGCGACGATCACCGATGGAACAATTCCAACTGTACGGGTAACAAGCCTTCGAAGTAAAGCATTTGTTTCCCATCCTAAAAAGCCAGACGAAAGAGATTGACCAGTCATGGTGATGGTTAAGGAAGCTGCCTGCCCTGAAAGAAATAGCGAGAAGGCGAAAAGACCAGCAATTGCAGGTCCAAGGTTAGCCTTTAGAAGTGTATGGACAGATTCTATACTGGCTTCTTTGGTCCCTGCCATCGATTTTCTATTGGTGGTGTTAAAAAACGATGTTGAGGCTACAATTAAGATTGCAGAATTAATGACTATGTTTTGGAAGAAGGAGGTACCACCACAGTTAGCTCTTAATTTGTTTTTGGCGAGTTGAATATCCACTGACTCAGAGGTAAGGTAAACAAAGATGCTGCAATATCAAAGGTAGCATGTGATAGGTGACTACGGCAGCTTTTCAAATCTCTAAAATTTCGGCTGATTGTCTCTTGCTTTTCGTTGGTCGATACGTGATTGACACGGACGTCAAGACTGAGCGGTGGCCTGTCACATAGACCCTTTTCCGAGTCTTGGGAGTCCACTGAACCCTTTCTTTGGGTTTCAGTCCCAGACTTTTCGGCATCTGCCCTCTCCACGGTGGCCAAGTTACTGCCCAATAGAATTGCGTGGGGACCGATAGTCGCACCTGAAGGGACAATATATGAGTATTTTTCTGAAAAGATGACCAATTTGTTGACTTGCCTATAATCCCAATGGCCGTGTAGGATGCTTCTCCTTCTACAATTTTGGAACTTGGTAAGAAGCCTCGAATAGCTAAGCCCCAATTCGGATTTACCTTAAAGAGCAAGATGAGAGAAGCAACAACCACGCTTATGACGACCATGAAAATGATGATCTCGAAGAGCTGTGACGATCTTGTCAAACGCTTTCCCTTTCTGAAAAATATCAGAGCTAGGAACACATCGGGGAAACTCAAAAGGATGCATCCCCAGATTGGAATTCTTGGTATCAATCTGAACGGAAAGTAAACAAATCCCATAAGCTGGTTCCTATATGCTTGTAATGATTGGGTTGATCACCCTGAACTCGAGGCGTACAGATTATAGGCAATGGCCGAGCCTAGTAGTTGTCCAACGTCAGCAAACCTATCTCAGTGAGTAAGAGGTGAGTTCAAGTAATGATTCTACATCGTGATTTACCTAGACTCACACTACTCCAATTTCAAGTACTACCCAAAGTGGGTAGAGCCCAAGCCATTTCCATAGTTTTGTATGCTTTTTTTGAGACCGAAAGACTGAGCTACAATTTTGAGCGAGATCTGAGGGAGAAAAATGTTAAGAATATGAGCCAGTATCTTGAGAGATCATTTGCTTTGGTATTTCTTATTATATTTCAAACCAAAATGAACCTTTTCCACTTATGAATCCTAATCTACAAGCCAAGACTTGTAAAAAGACCGCCATAGAGATAGCACAGAATAGGACAAAAAGATGAGAGTTTCCAAATTTTGAGCCGGCTTGTAGGTCTGTTGCCCACTGTTTGATTAAATCATTGTAAGAAAAATGCAGAAGGATCGGATAATGAATTCCAAAAGCGACGAATTTTGTAAGACAGAAGCGCAAAGAACTCCACGTACGTTACCAGGATCGTAAAAGCTGACGCTGACATATGTAGAAAATTGTTAGGGACTTGATAGTGTTTCGTGAGCCTGAGGAAATGGATATCGCTCACGAAGATACTATGCCAGGCCCGATAAATCTTGAATGTCTTTTCAAAACTCCCGCAATCTTGTTTGCTGTAGCCCTTACCCGGATTTTCACCGATGCAATAGTCGAATGGCACTCATCGACATCTTGGAGAGCAGCTTGTTGATTCAAAGAGTCAGTGCTCATTGTTTGCGAATTTTTGTGAGGTGGCGATGGGCTGGAAAGGTGAATCAAGCTGTTTGTATCTATGTTATGTAGATCGTAAATCGAATGAAAGCTCACATAGAAAAAGATATACAAGTGTTTTGCACTTCGCGACCACCAATTGCCAGCAAAAAAACTTGTCCCTCGAAGGTAATAGAAGCGTAATAAGCTGGAGTGGCACCGATAAACTACAAAGGAGAGACTGAGAAGTGCGTAGGTTAATATTTCTTGAGTCTAAGAAGGCTGCTTCTTTTTCTTAGCCGAGGTGATGACCGAGTGATTTATGTGACATCAGTTTCCTGAAGATGTAAGACAAGGTCAGTGATGCGATGAGGGATAATTAGGAAGGGAGCATCAATCCCAGCCAGGGGATTTGCTGAGGTGTGATTATCGTCAGTTGATGGCTTTATCTTATGAGCCTCGAAGCATGCGTTAAGCGAGGAGGATACAAAGTTTCAAATCAAGGGAAGGTCCCCTTGAAAGTAATGTCGACACGGGTAAGGAAGTGAAGATATTTAATGAGAAGAGTTTGAGAGGGCACATTGATGACTACCGAAGATGTCAAGCTAGCGTGTATTTCAGAAAGGGTACCAGACAACCAAGAGTTAGTTCAAGAGTTCGATTGAATGTTGAAAAAGGCCTTTCATCGAGTTGGGTTGGAAATGCTGTTGGGTGAAGTGGAATGAATTTGACCAAACCTTTGATTCATGACCCGGTCGCCACACTACTGATCAGTCGCAGATATTGCATAATCATAACTACCAACTCTGCAACCATTGTGGAAGAAAACACAAAACGAAAGCTAGCTAGCCAACCCCGGAGCGGCTTGCCCAATGGGACCGAAGTCAAGCATCGAAAGGCCACCGACAGAACGATGCCAAAGTCAAGAGCCAGTCTTCAAACGTTGGCACTTCGAAATTTGCATGCCAGGTCAAATCGTCCTAAGGACAAGTTCAGCTCAACTTGACTCATCAGCATGCCTCGCATGTTCTCGATCGTTCACCGTCAATTTCCTCATACGCGTGAAGATCTTCAATCATTTTAAACTGCCCTTTAGCCGCTAGCGACAGTGCCGGGAGAATTTCGAGGGCAACTCTTCAACTTGGCAAACCCAGGTAGGAAGGTGAGCTTTCAAGAAGGTATTTGTCCAAACTTAACTACATAAGTCCACTCGCTTGAGCTGAATTGGCCAGCTGAAACGAGGGACTTAAACATCTCATTGCTACTTGCAATTTCGTGCATATATGTGTGTAAGTAAACTTCCATCTGTCACACGACAGAACGAACTTTACACTGCAACCGTTTTACACTCCATATTCCCGCGGTGTGACTGGTCAGCGCACCATCGAAAATTCCATCAATCGAATCCGAATTCCGAATAAGAGGATGACATCCAACTTAATCATGATAGATCAATCAAAACAATCAGATCGAGATTTAAATTTTATGTCAGAAGCCATCAAAATGGTCAGTAGATTTTATACAACATATCTTCAATAAATTCAAAGAAACCAAACTAAAAAGAAGAAAAAATATATATCATCAAATCATTTGAAGTGATCAATTTAGGCAGAAGAAGCTTTTTCAGCTAATGAAATTCCAGTAGGATGTGTTTTTATCAACGAATTAGATGGAAAACTAATTTCAAAAGGAAGAAATCGGACCAATGAAACCCGAAATGTTGAGTCCAAAACTCTTGATGATTTTTTCTTCATTTTCATCAACAAAACATCACCCGAGATCTCATCTGACCAAACTATTCTTCTTTAATTTTGATTTTAGGCTTCTCTTCATGCCGAATTCGATGCATTGAGTTCTTTACTACCTAATCCAAAAAACCCAAACCTAAAAACCGATTTCAAGAACCTCACACTTTATGTAACAGTAGAACCTTGTCTGATGTGTTCATCAGCCTTAAGACAAATAGGCATCAAAAAGGTCTTTTTCGGTTGTTCTAATGATCGATTTGGTGGGTGTGGTGGTGTGATTTCGATTCATAATGAGTTAAGTCAAGCAAACAAAAACGCACCCCCTCTCTCTCTTCAACTCGTCTTTCTCTTAAACAAGATTGTTTTAACCCTTTTTTTTGATTTAGTCCTAGATTATTATTTAGTGAACCTTTTGTTGCGTATGGTGGGTATAGAAGAGAAGAAGCGATCATTTTATTACGTAAATTCTATATTACTGAGAATTCGAATGGTAAATTCATGTTTTTTTCTTCAATGCGAATTCCCCATCCCATTTGCTTATGATTCCAATTTTCCTCATTCTTAACTTTTAATTTAATCATTTGGTTTCCTTTTTTGGGGGTGTTCAATAGCTCCTGTACCTAAGAAGAAAACCAATCGGGTCTTGAAATTCGAAATGCCACCACTTTAAATCATTGATCTATGAACCCATTTTCAAAGTCGAGCAAAACAACCCTTGATGAAAAAGAAGCATATATATATATCACATGAAAGTTAACGACCGAAAACCCGATGAAATAATTCCAAACCGCATGCTTACCACACAATTTGGCAAAACAAGTCGAATTCATAATCCAATGCCACTTTTACATTGCGGTGAGAAATGTTCTAATCTGCGTGTATGCGTAAAAAGACACAACACTTTACCTTTTGGCAACATCCAGTAAACAGCTACAAAGTGAGCTGTGATCGCAGTTCAGCGCCATCGATCTCGATAACACCTTTTGCCATCTGTCAAACGAGGTCATCGACTTCATCAAGTTCAATGATGGTCAAACCAGTCTACTGGTTTGGTTCCTACTCGATCTTTCTCCCCTCAATGCCACACCATCTTTCACTATTTGACCTTCACCCTTCAAACCGAGGAGACTCATGCAAATTCAATTTTTCAATGCAATTCAGTTCTAATTATTATCAATTACATCAAAAACATAACATCTTTAAAACTGACAAATCCTAATCAGATGAACAATATAAGTGAGAGACAAAAATATGTAATTTGTTGAGATTGATATGTACTCAACCTGGTAGTATAAAACTTGCATCACAAATGGTCAACAGCTTCAACCACCCATCATTTTATGACAAAACCCTCCAAAAACCACTTTATAAGAAATCTTAATAATCTTTTTGATTCATTTCTGATTAGAATCTTATGAATGATTGCATAAAACTTGGAATAAGTCACTTTGAAGATTGATACAGTCAAACCCGCGCTAATGCATAAATTGGGGAGACAATTTTTGCTATGCATTATTGCGGGTTATGCAAATAGGCATAAACCCCCATAATGCATATTTGTATGCATATTGGCCTAAATGCATTGAAATATGCATTATGACGGGTTTTTGTTGAAATTGTATAAGTTTATGCAATAGTACGTTTGTATTTTGCGCGGGTACAAGGACAAGATATTTTTTTGACACCGAAAAAAACACCACTAGGGGTCGGTTTGACCCCATAGAGGGCTCATTGCTGCCTGATGTTGCCAAAATCCTACTTGCAAAGGATTTGATCAGAGTTCAATGGAAAAAAAACACATCCTGGGGCGCTTTGTAGGCATGCATTATGACTTTGGGGACTTGAAAAGAAGTATGCATTATGGTTTTTGACATAATTATGCAATTAATGACAAAATTGGCCCGCACCAGCTGGGTGGAAACCAAAACTTATGCATTTTGGCTGGTTATGCATGTGCGCGGGTATGCATGTGCGCGGGTTTGACTGTAATCTATTCTTATGATAACACAAACTTTTTAATTGATATGTATCAAGTGAGCTGAAAAGCATTTTTAAGTTTACATTTTTTTTCCAAAGTGATCTAATCTTTGATGACTAAAGCTCATTTTAAAGATCTCCTGATTCTGAATTATGTAAGCCAAAACCCATGATACACATAGGAGTCCGGAGTTGGACCCATACCTGGTCTGTTGGGCTGAGCTGCTCTTAGCCCCGCTGCGCTGGTTGCTGCCTGTATTTGGCGGTGGCGCAGGGGGAAAAAGACCAGGAATTGGTACAACCATGACACCAATTCCTGGAATAGCTGTACTTGCAATGGCGGCAATGCCAAGCATACAGTTGTTATCACCAAAGCCCTCTGACTGGCTCCCTACAAGAAGAATTGGGGCAGTTGACCCAGTACTTTGGTATTTTTTATGCCATGATATCTCTTGAAAAGCCCATTTTTGGACTGTTCAGGTGTAGAGGAACCAAGAAATGGTACTCATGAACCTGTACAGCCACTTTTGCAAAAAGAAATTGATCTAAGACCCCGACCAGTCGGACCAGGGGCTGATTTGAGCCTGATGCAAGCCTAATACAGGCAGATTTCATGGCTTTACATAACTAGCTATGTACTTAACATCATAGTTGAGTCAGATTCATAGCATAAAACCCCACAAAAATACAAAAGTTTGGTCAAAATTGGTGAAAACCCCCAAATTTTTGATTGTTTTGGTGAAAGTAGGTGTTATTGGAACCCCCTGACCAGTCAGACCGGGGCCGGCCCCAGCCAAACCAGTCAGAGAGCTTTGGTGATAACAACTGTACCAGACTGTGATAACCCCATCATTGTTGAGAACTCCAGCCTTGGGTTCCTGTTACAGCCAAGATTAGCACATGATGAGATGATGTATGTATTGAGATCATTGCATACCTCAACATAATCATAGACAGTAGATCTGAGATCACCGCTTGATGACTTGACCAGGACTGTCATCAGCCATCATCATATCATCGTCATGTGTGTATGAGGATGAGTTCTTGTTTGATAGGCTTCCTGGTTGCCTGGATGTTACAGAAGAAACCAGTCCAGCTATGCTGGATGCAGCGGACCTACCAGTACGGGGATATTGATAAGCAACAGATGGGGTTTAACAAGTTAACACAATGAAAGGGGTTCTGGTCATTGCGATACAAAGAAAGATATGTTGAACTAGTCTTGATTAAGTGTAAAAAATGATGATTTAAATATGTAGTTGATCAAAGATTGATAGTCTTTAAAATGATAAGATCAATAACCAATAGAAATTTATTTTGTTAAGAATAGAACGCTTGAGGAAGGGGAGGTCAAGAGCAATAGAAGAGCTCATTATATGGAACCGTATACAGTCACCGCTTGCTATAAGCATCATTATAAATGCATCAAAACTGATGCTTACAAAGCACAATGCAGCATTTGAAAATAAGCATAATAGCATATTTGGGAAGGAATTGAATATGATGCTTATTTTGGGGCAGAAAAACCGCATTCAAGACAATGTATTTTTACAAATATAGTTTTTGGACATTTTTGACTATTGTTGTAAGCATATCTGGCTTGAATATGCATGTGTATGCTTATAACACACACCAGATGTGCCCTTGGTAAGCATATTTGCAGAAAAAAGTGCTTTTAGCCTATATGCTAAAGTGTCCAAATTAAGCCCCCCTCATTTTTGTTACACCAAAACTTGATTCCTATAGCAAAATATGCTTACCCAATCGGTGACTGTATCTGAGGACGTGCCATTGGTCTACATCTTCAGACAAATATCTGGTCCCATGGCTGTTAAAAAATTGATTGCATTGTGGAGATCCAGTCCAAATGAGCCTCAGGACTGTCAACAGTTGCCCAAATAAGAATTCACAGTGGCAATTTTATTTGTATCAATTGATATATCTAAATCCTTTATCTAAATGTGTGTAGATAGGTGTAGATATGACATAAAAGTGGAGATGTTTCAGAAGGGCATTAGATTTCTTAGCGGCTTGAGCCTGGCCTGATAACTTTCCCCATCCCGGATGAGTAGGACTCATCCAATCATTGCCAAGCAGTAGTCCAGATCTAGAGTCCACCACACCAATTGTGGTTTGATAATGAGTATGTCGACTCAGGAATTTCTCACAGCTTGAGTAAATGGTGACCATTTACTCACACTGTATTATTGGTACTGAGTACAGTACCCTTGGGAGGCACTTCAGTATTGGTACTCACAAGATGAAATACAGTACCTAACAACTCATTCACACATCCCTGCTCTTGATCACTTCAAAGGCAGATCTATACCAGGGGCTTTAATTAATATTTATCATTGTTTGAGGGCTCTTTCTGTTGTTTCAGCTTTACACTTTGATCAACCAGAGCAAATTGCTCTAAACTTGGCAAATCTAACATCTTTGGATTAAGCGGCGTAGCTAGTCCTTAGGTTGATTGGACGTCAGACTCTTGGGTATGTATTTACCTTTTGACCTGTACTTTCCCTATTGCATTGGCCAACACAGACCTGCGAAAATCTTGATCTGATCATTTCAAATACTAAGTGCACATATACAATAGGACAAGATAACCATATTCTTTTGTTAACAATCCAAAAGTTGAATATCAGTGTCCTAACTTGTAAAACCTCCCACACATTTTGCCACTCTTTCTGGTTATCTCCTTTTAAAGATCTTCATTCATCAGCTGACGTCCGGTCTCAGGTTTTCTCAGGAATGTTAAAAACTTTACATACCTTCAAGAGAAACAAAAAATGACAGGTCCTGGGGACCGGGTGGATAATTCAAAGGAGTCTATAATTTGACAATTTGACTCCTTGCTAAGAAAGCTCTTGGTCAAAAACAGCAATGCTAATCTAAGACCTTTAGGGTGTGTTCACTTAAGGAATTTCTGACCAGAAATCACATTCTGTAAATTTTTTAATGCAAAAATGAAACATACACCACCAAATAGACACTTTAAATTTTGCAGAATGTGATTTCTTGGTGAGAAATCACAGTGAACGTGCCCTAAGTATGTTTCATTTTTGCATTAAAAATTTTACAGAATGTGATTTCTGGTCAGAAATTCCTTAAGTGAATGTGCCCTTAGTTTATTTCAAAGAAATATAGAAATGTGGAAAGCTACGGAGAGCGCTCCGGACTGTACACCAATCTCAATACGCTAGACTAAGCTCAACTCAGCAAATAGCACGTATTCTAACAAAGCAATGAAGTAAAGGATAACATAAAAAAGAAGATACCACAGATAGAATGGAAAATAAACATAGACAAAGATAACTACAAAGAGAAAGGGCGGGAAAATGATAAAAATCACCAAAGAAGAGCTTGATTACTTAGATCAAAACCTTTGAGAGTGAAAGGGCAGATAATAACTAATAAAAGAATTTGGTAGAAATAAGAAGTGGTATACGGGAGATCGGCTCAATGGCCAACACTGAATGAAATTAAGGAAGGAATGCGCCCAATGCACCTTGTCGGATGTTATTCCTTGATACCTGGTTTTTCATAGACAGGGTTTGGGTTGGCTCACACGTTAAGATCAAGTGACCTCAATCACCTGATAACTCACCTTTTGACCATCAACTCGATACCAAAACAAAACTATCAACTCTTTTTTCAATCCAAACTTCCAATCAAAAGAGAAACAGACATCTATCTCTTGTATAGTAGAATATGAAATCAAAACAAACTTGTGCACACACTGACTCAGTCTCTATCACATATTCTTCAATTGATTTGTTGTGTTTTCAGTGATACAATGATTTTGCCAAAGCAGGATTTATAGAAATAGTATTTTTTCTTATTCTTATTCACAAGAAGGACTAATTCTTACTGAACAAAATTTTATAACAACTGGGATGTGTTTATATTAATCATATCAAAACACAACACACAGCTTCTTTGCCCATTTTAAATGATCTGCCAAGAGAAAGAGAAAATTGAAACAAATAATGAAAAGCTCATTGTTTGGGTTATGCGTAATATTGATGATGAGGAAGATTCTGTGGTTGATCTTTCATGAAAATGTGATTTTGACCGTTTGAATGTTCTTCAACATTCCATATATTCCCATCCAGATTTGAAATCCTGATCTTCGAACTCCTCAAACAGCTTCAAACCCCCTTCAACTCGTTCAGTATATCACTGACATCCCAGCAAAGCTTCGTACATGTTGATCGTAGGCAATCAACACTCTTTGTACTTGCGGGAAAAACCCAGCTTACTTTATTCACTTCCCTAGTGTCTTATTGATCTGTGCCATCACTACAGCGTCGCCAAGTGTCCTCAAGATTCGAAGATGTAAAATTGAGAGTTGATGATCTCTGCTGGAGGGTAGAACATGCGTAACGTTCAGAATTGACTTTTTCATTCACAAAGCACAAAAAAATAATCTTGCAGCGCCTGGTTATCTCGAGTTTGATTCATGTGTGGTGATTAGAATGCTTACCTCGAAGTTCGAACTCTGAGATGCTTTTAAGTGTCCCTTCACCTGGTCAGTGTTTGTGGTGTCCATGGTGAGTCCTGATGAGGTTTACTCAAAAATCGAGTACCTGTAGAGGGTTTGCTTTCGGGGTTTGGGGGTTTGGGGTTTGTCTGGTTTGTCCTCCTTCCTTGTCCATCGTATTTTGATCGAATCTCTCTCGTTCACCTGGTCTGTCAAACCTCATCTACGTCTCTAAATCACCAACATCGAAAGTGAAAATAAGTGTGATGGACACCCAATCTTTGTCAAAACATCCTAAACCTGGGATTACGACTGAGGCTTGCAGTATTGAATTAATATGCGGAATTCATGATGTTTCAAAGCGTATCACCCAGTTAAAGAAGACCGGCGACAACTTTAACGCATGGGAACGAGATTCAAAGGTTATGATAGGCAGTATCACTGGGTCATACAACTACTTTGTACGCGAGTTAGACAAGCACGATCCGAAGTTCAATCGAGCCGTCTTCAATCTTATATACTGGTCAATCGACGAGGAACTCCGGCAGGAGCTGATCATTGATGGGTCTGCAGGCGACGCCTTTCAATTCTTGGCAGGGCGGTTCCGATCAGATCCTTTGAATCAATGTATCATGAGTCGCGCGACTTTTCCAGAAGAAATCTTAGATAATATCGTGAACTTCGTTTACCACCAATCTTTTCAAGAGCATGACTCTATCAAGCAAAGGAAACGGGAGCGTATGGTTCAGGTCCCCATCGCCCGCGTCGAAGATTACACATATATCTACCGGGATCATCGTGGCTCACCAATTCTCAGTACCTTTCAAACCCTTGCCGTGGTCAATCGCAGATTTCATAGGTTGTGTCTCCCTAAGATGTGGCAGGTATGGTTTTGCATGACTTCCAGTTTGTGCCCTTCCTGCTCCCGTATCAATCTGGACACACGATATACTCCTGAAACGTGGTAACCTAGTGAGATATTTGGAGTTTGAATTGGACGATGTGACTGTCTATGCCGATGACGAGGCTTCGGAAATTTCAAAGAGTGTTGATGATAACACATCACTAGGCAGCAGATGTGACCTTGAAGACGAGTCGAGATATGGGATTGGACTACAGTCAAACCCGCGCTAATGCATAAATTGGGGAGACAATTTTTGCTATGCATTATTGCGGGTTATGCAAATAGGCATAAACCCCCATAATGCATATTTGTATGCATATTGGCCTAAATGCATTGAAATATGCATTATGACGGGTTTTTGTTGAAATTGTATAAGTTTATGCAATAGTACGTTTGTATTTTGCGCGGGTACAAGGACAAGATATTTTTTTGACACCGAAAAAAACACCACTAGGGGTCGGTTTGACCCCATAGAGGGCTCATTGCTGCCTGATGTTGCCAAAATCCTACTTGCAAAGGATTTGATCAGAGTTCAATGGAAAAAAAACACATCCTGGGGCGCTTTGTAGGCATGCATTATGACTTTGGGGACTTGAAAAGAAGTATGCATTATGGTTTTTGACATAATTATGCAATTAATGACAAAATTGGCCCGCACCAGCTGGGTGGAAACCAAAACTTATGCATTTTGGCTGGTTATGCATGTGCGCGGGTATGCATGTGCGCGGGTTTGACTGTAGTAAACATTAGAAACATATTCAAAGCCTGTCCTTATCTAGAGTCAGTAACAATTCATATTCCAGAAGATTCATACTACGCAGAATCATCTTCTCCTATCGCATCCCGCTTGAAAGACCTATTTGGCCTCATCCCTCAGCTTCGACGTTTAGTAATAAAGACCCCTGACGGCGGCGGAGGCTTCACTGGCGAATTCGTGATTGACTCTCTCACAAACCTACCGTCTTTAGTAACATTGGAACTCTTTTCCTTTGCATTTGAGGAAAAATCATCGCCAGAAAAATCCTTTGGGTGGAACCTAGCTCAGCATCGCAACCTCCGCGAATTGCGTCTGCGAGAGGTCGACTGCAATGATCAAACTTGGACCTTGAAGTCTTGGCCTCAACGACTTACGACCCTTGAGCTTTACTGTTGTGGATTGACATCGGGCATGGTGCAGAAAATGCTCAGTGGTTGTGCTCCCTTTCTTGCTAGGCTGGAGATCTCGCTTGATCGTACCCCACATGGTTCAGGTGTCTGGGATCAGACTGATCTCCCGGCTCTTCAACACCTCCTATGTCATCGAACAAGCTTGGAGTTTCTTGTATGCTTCCAGAGCTGTAAAAATATAGAGGCAATTAGTTATCACGGACCTATCAACGATTATCAATGGTACTTGGTAAAGCATCTTTTATCAACATGCACGTGGCCCAAAATTTTGCTTTTGGATCTTCGTGTATGGTATTCTGCCGAGAGGATCAATGATAATAACTGGAGAACACTAACTGAGAAGGATGTGGATGATATTTGGCAATCTTTCAAAATCAAACTCTTGATCAAATGAAAGCCAACTCAATTTGGCTAGAACCCCAATCTTCTCTCAAAGAATGTGATATGTATACTGTAATTCTATCAAATGTCTCGTTTTTTTGCATTCCTACCTATCGTTTAACAATAGCCGGTCTCAAAGTTAACCCGGTTGCCAAAAAACCCGGTACACCCAGTTTTTTTTTAACTGGGTGACCTGGGTAGGTGAAAAACCCACCAACCGGGGAAAACTTTTCATACACTTTCCATACACTTTCAAGCCACTAAACCCGCCACGATGCCGCGCAAAAAGGCAACCAAGCACCCAAACCCCACATCAGCTTCTCCACAAATACCTAGTACAACTCCAATCACCCCAAATCCCACGCATATTGGAACTCTATCTGGTATATCCCCGCTCTCGGGAGGTATTCCAGTGATTTCGGCAGGTCAAGCTTCTCCCTCGGCTCATATTTCTCAGGCCGACTTGATCCGTCTGCAGCTTTTAGCAAGCGGTGGATCA